AAAAAATTATAAAGTTAACATCCTTATTTGCATATTTTTTGGATGAGAAAGATCAAAACATGCTAATAATTAAAATATAAGAAATGATAATAAGAAGATTAAAATATATTTAATAAATTAACATGAAATAAAAATTCATTAAAGGTATTTAAATAATTTTATAGTGAGACTAATAAAAAAAATTTTAAAGAGTTCTAACACTTAAAATGTTAAAACATCTTAATTTTCACTTTTCTCTTTCATATTTTAGCCAAATTTCACATTCAATTGTGTTGATTAAGGTTTAATTTCTTGATAAGTAAGGCAAAAGTAATTTTTTGTAAATTTTTTAGTTTTAATATGAATGATCTGTCTTTAATTAAAACTATTATTAAAAAAAAAATTATACATGACCAAAATCTAATATTGTTCATATTAATTACACCTTTCATAGTGGTTGGTATCATCAAACAAAGACAACATCATTCTCCTTACATGCTTTAATATTAATAACCAACCCATCTCCTCCATATCTATCCCTTTTAAGGCAAGTAAATGAACTAATGAAGTTTCTCTCTCCCCCACCCCCCCTTTTTTATTTTCAATTAAGAGAAACATGATTTGGTAATGTTAAATTAACAATATTGTTCAATAAGTTAAGAAAAACCCTAGAGGGTCAAAAGATGTATGTGATAAGAAAAGATTGAGAACTTTTAGGTGATTATGCCTTAAATTCTGTCGTTGGTAAGCATTAGAGCTGAAACACTCGGCTTCTAAGTTGAGATGATCCCAAATGTATTTATCTATGCTTTTTTACTGAAGGCATGTCATGATGCCTGGTAGATGTTGAACTGCGGGGATCTGCATCCACTTTAATTGAGGACTCAAAAGAACTGGTTTACCTGAAGGGTATCATTAAAGATTTGGAGTAGATATGGTCACCTTTGTTTTCCTGGATATGGTCAGGAAGGACAAGTGTCCGATTAGCATATCTTGATTTGTTCATTCAAAGATCATGAGACCCACAAGCATTGGAGCATTCAGCAAGGAATTTATTGTGTTCATTTTTTGACTTTTTTGGCAAGTAGAGACTAGGATTGAATTCCAAATTTGTGGCTAAAAAGCACATAGCTGATGGTGGAATTTATTGTGTTCATGCTAATATAAAAGAACATGTAATGTATCATTAACCTTTCTATACAAGAAATGGTATAATCATATTTGCAATTGATTTGGAAGTAAAAACTCGAAGTTCAAGAAGTTCAATCTCACATGAAATAATTCTAGCCACAGATCTATGAGTTTTCATCATACCGCATAGAGCCTTACAACTTGATTAATGTTGGCTCGGCAGACAGGGCAAAGACCTTTCTTAGCCTTTATCTCATTTAAACAAGACATGCAACCGGCCATGTGACCACAAGGAATGCATGCACCTTGAACTGGAGCTTCCCAACATATTATACATGAGGATGAACCACCTCCATCTGTTGGGTTGTTTGTTGTTGAAGAAGCCCCATGTTCTGTTGTAGGATGAATGGACATGTTCACAGGATTGAGGTCGATTGAAGGATATAGAATTGACCCTTCATCTAAGACTTCATTCGGAATTGGTGGGGCAGATGGAGCTGTGGAAACGGACGGACTGAAGTTACTACTGACATGGACAATAAGGGAAGGAAAATCAACCTGGGTTTGGATCCCTTGACGTTGCTTGCCAATTGGTCTAGAATCAGAGACACCCCACCCATTATAGTCATCCTTTGGCACTTTATCCAACCAACCAGAGCCACTTGACTTCAGATGTGCAGAATCAACACCCAGATTTTGCTTGCCAGCTGGTTTAGAATCAGGCAGACCCCACCCATTATAGTCTTCCTTTGGCACTTCATGCAACCAAGCACTGCTACTGGACTCTGGATGTGCTGGAACAGCAGGTGTACCCCACCCGTTGTAATTCTCAATATTTGTGGAATTTTCCCAATGAGCTACCCCAGAAATCTGGTGATTATTTGAAGAATCTTGAATTCTATCCTCTGAAGCAATTTGATGTGTGGATGCTGTGCTCAAGATTTGGCTGTCATGATCAGTTAAGGAAGGCCTAGCCTGGAATGAAAGTCGATATTAGTATTAAAGCTTGTAGATACAAGACAACTGACAGGGTTTATTAGAAAATAATTGAGCAAAGAGAGAAGTTCAGCCTTGGGGAGCATACAAACCAAATTTCCCCAACTGGTGCAACATGACATGACAAATGAGGTTATTTTACTAACAAAATCCACAGACAAGAAATAAACTCAATGTCTAGGTTTCTCCATAATTACCGGAGGAATTCCCCTGCATGCACTGTACAGCCATTGAAGCTGCTGTTTGTCACCTTCAGTCCCAGGAGCAAGCTTAAATCGAGTCTCTGACAATGAAATAAAATAAAAGAGAAGCCCCAACAAAAAAACATGACAGATACATACATATTTAAGGATTGTCAGAGAATAAGGAACTGCAATAACAAGGTGGGTTGGCTGTAATACTCGACTTTTTCATTTTGCTAAATCAGCTACTGCATTTATACTAATAAATATTATCATCCAAAACTTCTAGAATTACCATATCAACTGTAAATTTTAGACATTCAGAGAAGTCTCCATGGAGTCTGTTATCCATTTCATTGATGTGATGAACAAAAGAAATGTAAGATTAAAAAAGACGAAACAAAAATAGGCCTCTTTCTCAACCATCCAACTTCCAGCCTTCTAATTTCTTGGCTGATTCGGAAGTATGAGGTAAAGGTTCAGAGTCATATGTCAATTTATATCAAAACTAATCAAATACCAAGAGTATTGCTGGAATGTTAACAATATGTAAAAAGTGTCAGGCAGGACCTTCTTGGAATAATAAATGTTTCTGTAACAATATTTCAGATCAAAGTTAGTTGTAAACAATTGCTTCTCTTTGATGTAAGATATCATAGTGCCTTTTGAACAGTCCTGTGAAAGACCCCATAATTAAAATCAAAACCAAGCAAGAACTAAAACTTGTTTTGCTTCAATGTTATAATTCACTACACTGAACAACCCTCATGAAAATTTGATCTTAAAGGAAAATGTATATGAAACAGGAAGCAAACAAAAAATAAAGCCTGGCCCCTATAAATTGAGACTGTATCTACACTGTCAACACTGAATAGAAATTGTTAAATTCCTGTTTTTGTTTTTGAGAGTAAGAGAACTTAATAGAATCACAAGAACCAGCTTCACTTTAGACTAAAACTTGTTTACCATACAAACTATAGGTTCAACGGTAGATGCTTACTGGTTAACTGATCAAATATGGAAATAGAAGGATCTGGTTTATGGAATTTGGGCTCCTCAATATCAGCCTTTAAAAGGGAAATAACAGTCCGGGGCTGGGCATCCTATTCATCATAATGTCATAAGGTCAAAAATTCAGAACATCAATATTTAAGAGAGCTAACCAATTCAGTTAAGAACACCTGTAATGTAGAATATATGGCAAGCTCAAATCTGGGAGGTTTAATGGCATTGCCAAATCCACAAGGTATTATGACAACCCATCTGCAACAAGTGCACCTTTCTTAGCACATAAAAAATAAGATTAAGAATGGACTAGAAGGCTTTTGGAGGAACAGTAAGATAAATTTTTAATCTGCATGTCATATCTAATGGATATTAAGTAAAATGAGATAGAAAGGTGGCAGTTGTACATTATACAGACATTTTTCTTGATAACAGCCGTGGAGCTAAAAATCCTCCAAGAAAGCCTGGACCATAGAACTCCCTCATCCAGCCAGAAAAATAGCAAATATGATTCTGTTGTAAACAATGGAAGTATGAAACTTTGGAAATGAGAGTAACCTACTGCAAATAGAGGGTTTTTCTTGCTTGGATAAATTTAAGTTTCCAGATCTCTCAGGCATACCTCAATTGCATGGACAATACTTGTGTACCCTTTCATTCTAGCGACATCAAGTGGAGTTAGACAATCATCATTCCTCACTAGAGCATTTGCTGAATAATTGATGAAGAAACAGATTTCATTACACTTGAAGAAAATACCAACATATTTTGTCCCTTTACACCAATTAAGATTCCAAGGCCATTCTAATAATGATAGCATCTTGAGCATTAATCAAATAAGAAGATATACCTCCATGGGAGAGAAGCAGCTTTACAGTCTGTTCCAGGCCTCTTTTTGCCGCATGATGGAGAGGGGTCCCAGCATTGCACCCTGCCAACCAACAATTACAAGCTAAGTAAGTAATGAAGAGGCATAAGGAAAAAACTTGTATGTTATCTCCATATTAATGGTTAAAGAGCCGGAATCAAAACCATGGCTCATCAGTACACTCAATTTAATACATTTAGGACTTGATAAAGTTTAGCTGCAAAATGCAACTCATGATATAACCTTTAGCAGAGTTTCAATTTTTATCATAAAAATCAACAACTCAGTGAACAATATATCACTTTCAAAACTTACCAGGACGATAAGCATTGATATTGGCACCCTTTTCAATCAGAGTTTTGGCCACGCCAATTAGTCCCGGATTCATGCAAGCCACAATGAGGGCAGTCTTTCCTTCTCTATCAATCCACTACATCAGGAAACAACTATGCTTTTACAAAAAGATACATAAAAAGCAATCCCATAGGACACAGTTGTCCCACTTCTTCACTTATTTCTGTGAACTGCCAAAGGAATCTAAGATTCCATCCAATTATGCTAGTAGTAAACATGTCATCCCATCTCTACAAAACCCAATAACCATAATTGCATTTTAGCAACAAATATGCCACCAAAAGCTAGTAAACCTACCTCGGTATGGTGACTTATTGAACTTAATCAATCAACGAGTTAACCCAAATCTTTTCAAGTGACCAAATTCTGATATCAACTCATGAACCCACATGGAAAGGACGCAACTTGATGAATCAAACATCACATATAACTATAAAAAATTGCAAATTGTTACCTCAAGGGCAGCACCATCTAGGCGAAGGGCTTTAATGGCTTCCACATCTCCAGCAACGGCGGCAAGATAAAGCAGCTCGTCTCTGGGTTGCTGCTTCCCCATTTTATCAACTTTCTGTCCCATGAAACAAGATATATGAACGACAGCGCCAATACATACAACCCACCAAAATTTCAACTCGACACGAGATTCAAAGACACAGGATTTAGCAGGAAAATTGGAAAGGCAATGATCTTTTTGCAGACTATTAGAAAACGAGGTGATTGTATGGTGAGGGAAAAGTTGTTTTTGCACGATATCCACAATTTAAAAATATTATATTTTAATTAATATTTTTAAAAATTAATATTTGAATTGTGAAAGTTAATATTTCAATTTTTTAGTTTATTTGGTAGGTATAATCAGTTTTTTCTTTGTTTTCAGCGAAAAAAAAATCAGTTTTTTATTTTAAAAAATTGAAAGCTGTTAAATATATATTAATAGATAAAATTTATTTAATAAAAATTATAAATATTAAATAAATTTTAAAAACTACATGTATAACTTATATAAATAAAATATTTGATTTAGCATTTAGTTTCCAAAAATTTAATAACTAATTTGCATTATACTAATCTGAGTCAGGAAAATACAATAGCCATTGAAAATACATTTTTTTTAAAAATATTTACAATTGATAATATTTTTAAATGATTTTTATATGTCTAATATCTTACACAAAACAAATACGTTTTGTGTATTGTAAATATACTCTTTTTATTTTACAATAATAGTCATTTTTAAAATTTTTTCTTTTTAAATTAAAAATTTAGAATAGTTTATATATTTATCTATATTTCCCTTCATATAGAAATAAAAAATAAATCTATCAAAAAATAAATAAATAAATAAAAAGAGATTTTTTGTAATAGGATAATTAATCAAAGTAAATAAATAATTATAGGATTAAAGTAAAAAATATTTATTTATCTTAAAAAATAAAAAAATAATTATTAATTTTGAATAAATTTAAAGAAAACAACAATAATTATTTTGAAATGAAAGAAGTAGATATCAGTATTTCAATTTTACATTTTATTCGGTGACAGAACCAAGATTCTACACAGGATAAGGTATGGTGACAATTGGATGAAAATTATCAATTTATTGTAACCTTACTTTGCTTATTTGAAAAAAAATAAAAAATCAACAATAAAAATAAAAATGATTTGTAAATAATGGTAATTATTTCCTATTTTTTCTCACTCTGCTAACCTCCATGTACTTGTCTGGTAATAAAACTCAACATGCCAAACACAAGTAATTTTATTTCCCGAGTAGCAATTACCCAAAAAACACCTTAGTTTTCTGTAGGCAACAATGTTCTTTACTAAACAGGCCCTTAATGTTGCATGAATCATTTGGGAAACATGTAATGATTCTTGGGACTAAAATTTAAGAAGAAAATTTGAGATAAAATTATTTCTAAAGTTGATTATGTGACTTCATGTAAAACGGTCCACACCATGATCAATTGCTATTATAAATTCGTCTGAAATTTGTTCTCAAAAATTAGTTCTACCTACCATTATCCTTGGGAAACAACATAAAAAACCAAAGGGAATTTCATAAAGATCATAACCAACAAAATTTAAGTAGGCTTCAGTCTTTTGCGTTTTTCCAGCATCACTAATTAGAATGGCTACTACTTAGCAATTCCAACAAATCATCTTTTTTCATCTTTGAGTACCCCTTTACACCACGAGTCTTTGCAAGTGCCCTGAGTTCTGTTACCTTCAACGCGCTCAAATCTTCTTCTTCAGACTCCTCTTGTTTGTCCTCGTCCAAATCATTATCGGCATCATCAATATCAGAACCATCAGAAATTTCTGATGCATAATCAAATACGTTGGTATCTTCATAGATTGATTCAGGCTCCAGTTCCTTCTCATCTTCAGAGTCCAGTTCCTCCTCATCTCCAGAGTCCAGTTCCTCCTCTAGCTCAGATTCTAACACAGGCTCATAGTTGTATTCAGGAGGTGACTCAACAGAACTTATTTCACTCTTCCCATTTGAATTCAATTGTGATTCAGAATTGACAGCGCTGGAATAAATGGACTGATATTTCACCTGTGGAACAGGTGACCTTCGTCTGAAATTTGATGCTGGTCTTCTTAAATTGTGGGAATGAGCTTCTTTAGCCTCATTCCTCAAATCACCATTTGTGTCAAAGAGGCTAGAGCTTTTATCTTCATTGTAAGAGCCATCCTCTTTCCGGTGACCCAAATTAAGGTCTCCACGGCTGCCACGGCTGCCACGGCTGCCACTGCTCCCTTTTCTCTTCCCTTGTTCTACTGAGTGTTTTCTCAACAACTTAAGCAGGGAATCTACTGTTTCATTCTCCTTACCTTTTCCTTGTGAAAGTTCAACCTTCTTTTCATCTTTGGCTGCAGCTCTTTCTCGAAGCTTAGCTTGGACCTTCCTAAAAAGCTCCACAATCTCCTTCTCTCTCTGTCCTGGGGCTGCAGTGGCTTGGAATTTTGAGGAACCAGAGAGGGAGGGTAATCGACCATTTTTTGAAAACAACGGTTCAGATTCATCAGAGGTTTCAAAGCTCTCTCTGTCCTCATTTTTCCTGTTCACACCTCGGAATCCACGTTTCTGCTTAGAGAAGTCTTGGTTCCTCCTATGCCCATTAGAAGCTGCTCTGCACACAAAAGATGCTTCCCCAGGAAAACATTTTAAGGATCCAATCTTCACCTGTGAATGTATTCTACGCTGACCATGCAAAGAGTGAGGAGATATAGCAATTGCTCTTCCAGAAACACCTGAACAAGGGAGACATCTCTTATCTGCCACTCCATAACCTGCAAGAACATCAGGACTCATGCTCAACAATAAATAAATAATAATCTCAATCTTAATTTTTAGCCTCCAAATGACCATAAGCATAAAATATCATTTTGACTGTTTTCCTTTCATGCATGAAAAACTTCATACCAGCACCAAATAGATCGAAAGGAAAACTATTAAAAGAAAAAAAAAAAAAAACCCTAAAAACCTAACACAGTCGCAATCACAATGACCCAAGCAACATCAATCTGTATGAACTTTAAAAAATGAGGAAATTCATTAATCTATATACTTATGGAAGGATCTAAGCATGGTAATAACAATAATATTGTAACATAACCCAAAAGGATTCTAAGATATAGAACCCTAATGCACTACCCTCAAATCTGTCATTCCTTCCTCAACAGCCGCAGTCATGACAAAGAACTGGTATTCTCCATACTCCAGACCACCAATCCAACACTACCACCACATACCGCTACAAACTCAAGAACATTTAAAGTCCAACCCAATGTCTATTGAAGCATACAGCACGTTACCATTATAATTACATGAGCTTCTAATCTTTCTCATAGATTAAGATTAATTGATGGAAGCTGCCGCTAGAGTACTAGTATCATATTCCTCTATCTAACGTAGCTTTGCCTCCACTTCCAAAAAACAATACCATTACAGTTGGCGCAAGCAGTCATAACCAAACTAGCAAAACCACATTACTGTAACCATGGTCAATATCAGAACCCTACCACCTCAACTGCAACCACCAACCATGAACACCCACTGGTTAAATCATCAACATTCCCACTTCATTTCACACAAGAACTAAAACTAGCACACATAAGTAGCCAAATCCCTCATCAATCATAATTCATAAGATGTATATATAACCCGACCAGAAAAATCAGATGTAAGACAAACATAATTATGAATACAAATATCCAATAACCTTTCTGTAACTTTTTTTGAACTAATTATCCACCTAAAACCCTAAATCCAAATTCATATCCAACTCTTTCTATGTTGAAAGGAAAAATAGTGTCTTGTCAATACATTCAATGGCTAACATGCTTCAGAAAAGTAAAGACAAAGTTTTTACAATAACCCATTTGGAGAACTCTAATGTCAGCACAGACTACCAAGAATTTTTGTGCAGAGCAGATAGAATAGTCCATTTCAGAGTTACAACCAAGTCTCAGTACATACAAGTTACAACAGATAAGGAAGAAAGAAAAAAAAAATCATAAATCCAAACAATTATATGTTTGAGTTAAGTGAAAGCAAATTAAAGCTTAAAGTCCCTAGAACTCTCTTGGTTGCTGAAAGTGAAAAAGGGTTTCCTAGAAAACCCATTTCCGACCCAAAATTTTCTTTCATTTTCTCCCAGTTTCTCAGAAATCAAACAGAAGGCGAGGAAAGGATTAAGGAGAAACAAGGGAAGAAGGCAAAAAGATGAAATGAAAATTTACCAGGAAGGTTCTTGGCGATGAGATGAAGAGCATGCGACATGGGTGCGGAGAGTAGAAGCTTCAAAAGAGTGGAGAGTGGCGGTTTTGCTTTCTGCGTCACCGAGTTAAGCGGTGGCACTGATAAGGGACTTCCTCTGGTAATATGTAATTTCGTTAGGGGCAAAACCGGGTGAAAAGATAATCAATTCCACGTTTGACCTTGACTGTATTGAGCTGCGTCGAAGCTGGCTTTATTAATTTTGTTAAGTCACGGCTTAATTTTCCATTAGAAAAAAAAAAAAAAGTCACAGCTTAATTAATAATGAATCATTTATAATTATAAGGATTTTGTTTTACTTTTTTTATTTAAAAATTTATTGGATGCTAATTATGACATAATAAAGAATCATTTTAATTGAAATACAGTAAAATTTATATTTTAAAATGAAAAATATATAAAATTTGTATTTTTATTTTAAAAAATAAATATTTATTGTTTAATTTAAAATTTTTAAAAATTCATATAATTAAATAAAAAAAACTGTATCCTTATTTACAGTTGTTTTTTTTTTTTAAGGCAAAAGTTACGTATTTTTGTAAAAATATGTATTGATAAAAACTATAAATCAATTTATCCATTCACATTTGATTTAAGTTTATAATCTAAAGTTCAAATCTGTGGTGTAGGTATATGTTAGATACCAAAATTGCAGCTTCAAGACCTATTGCACATGCATTGGATTCTGCAAGTGAAAGCTCTGCAGCATCGCTAATAAAGAAAAGGTTTAAGTACCATTTTGATCCCTCAACTTTTCACTTTGATATCAAAACTGTCTTTCAATTTTAAAAAATACCAAAATTATCCTTAAATTTTTATTTTCGGCACCAAAACTATCCTTCTATCAGTTATATGGACAGGTGGCACGTTAACCTGCCAACAAATCTTTTTTTTTTTCTTAACTAATGACATAGTACCTTTTTTTTCTTATGAGTTGGCATTTTATTTAATTTAAAAATAATGATTTTCTTTTTCATCCATGTCATCTCTTTTTCCTCTTTCACTTTCAATCTCTCTTGTCCCTTCTTCTTCCTCTCCAAATCAAACCCAAATCTGGGTTTTTCTCAAACCCAGATGACTCGTCCGACACCACTGAAAAAACCCAGATGACTCCTCCGACACCATTGAAACACAACAAAAGAGAAACTAAATCACAGTCTAACAAAATAGAACAATAGCAAAATCAGGACCAAGAATCAGCCACAAGAGTTCGAAAAAACAAAACAAAAATGAAGCTCTCATCAGTGGCTAGCTCGTTCTTGAGAGAAATGAAGAAGAATCTTTAAACGCAAAGAAAAGTAGGGTTTCAAGATAACTTTTGGTCCCTCATGTCTTGGTGATTTTTATGGATTTTGCTAGGTGATTGAGGGGGGATTTGAGCGCAAAAGGGTGGGTTTGAGACAAACCCAGGGCCCACTAATTCTGGCACAAAGTACTGTGAGCACACTGGACACTCATGCGGCTTGCCTTTCTGCAGCCAAAACTAGACAACATCATGCTCATCCTTGCCTTCAGCTCCTAAGCACCCAACTATTCTCTTGTCATAGAAGGATTTGATGACTGCAGGAGCTTCCTTTGTGCCAAAAGGACCAACAAGATTGTTAAAATGTTCAAGAATTTTCTGCCCCTGAAGTTTAGCTTTAAGCTCTTCATGCTCGTGCCTTGTTCAAACCCAGATTTGGGTTTGTTTTGGAGAGGAAGAAAAACCCAGATCTGGCCATCCGAAATCAATAAGAAAAACCCTCAAGTCTAACACCTCAATCCCAACCCCTTCCTTCTCCAACTTCCTCGCGCTTCACACTCTCCTTCGTCCCCTGCATTCCCGTCAACAGCTCTATCAAAATAACTCCAAAACAATACACATCAAATTCGGTGCCACTTTGGTTATTTCCCTCATCATCTCTTTCTTTTCTGCGCTCGATGTTTCCAATCCTGACGTCGGCGATGCATGGGTCGAGATTATCAGATAGAAGGATGTTGGACGACACCGGTGACCATGGGTGGTGCAGATGTGATGTAGGTAATTTATGTGTGAAACCCAGATTTAGGTTTGAGAAACCCAGATCTGGGTTTGAGAGAAGATTTGGATTTCGTTGGCCGCAAAAGGCACACCAGAAAACGCAAAGCTACAGTTTTCTTTGAGGGATCGCTTCACTCATGCTCTCTGCTTGCTAAGCGAACCATTCATCGGTGAGGAGGAAGAAGCCTGGGAAAGAAGAAGGGGCGAAAGGATGAGAGAGACGAAGGGAGGAAGAAGAAGATGAATAATATAATAATAAATTATGTGGGTCTTTATTTAAATGAGAAAAAATTACCACGTGGAAAAAGAAAAATGCCATCTCATTAAGTTTATTTTCCATGTAATTATTATTATTTTTTGAATGTGATTTTGTGGCAAAATAACGTGCCACCTGTCACTTAACTGACAGAAAGATTATTTTGCTACCGAAAATGAAAGTTTAAAGATAATTTTGGTACTTTTTAAAGATGAGGGACAGTTTTAGTGCTAAAGTGAAAAGTTAAGGGACTAAAATGGTACTTAAACCTAAAGAAAAATAGGCTGTTAATGATCCAGGAGAATCTTCTTAGGCAATTAGGCTAGAAAGGTTACCTACATAACATATAAAACATGGTGTTTGGCATATAACCATAATTATATTAGACTTTCAAAAGTTCATTGTTAGGTTTCAATCAATTATAGTGTGATTGTCCTAATTATTACAGAATGACTATCCTTCAGTAAAAACAACAAAAAATTGTTGTTGTCACATATTTGTTAATTAGGGAATTTTATATTTAGATTTGATATCATATAGAATGTAGTTCTTTTATGATTTTTTCCTATTTAGTTGTTAAATATGTCAATTTTCATTTTTCAATACCTATTAATATAAGCCCCAGTGCAGTAAAATCTTAGGGTTAGAGTGAGGTGGCGACTGGTTTAAGGATATCTCTTCAGTTGAGGAGCCCCTATCTTCTTCCTCTCATTTGTGTTCAACCCTTTTGGAGCATTGCTGGCTGACTTGCCTTATAGCCCTTAACCTTAGGTGCTATGGAGTGGTAGCATATTTGAGCTTTTATGCAGCTGGCATGTTTGGATGTTTGTGATCTTATAACAATGATTGATTTCCCTGTTTGATTGTTTGTGATCTTGGTGGTGGTTTTATGATTAAGTTTCTTGGCTTTTGTTCTTGACAATAAAGCTTTTACAATTAATTCCTTTTTAAATTGCTTAGCATAGTGCCTAAGCACACCTATAAAGGCAATTGAGATGGCAGATGATGAACTAGGAGCCATGCCAAGTTAGGTTTGACTAATAAAAGATTACATAGACCTCCTCCCACTGCATGAAGTCTAAAAACATGAAGGTGCTCTAGAATGCTCTAATTGTCTCTTGGAATCCAAAATGATCTTCAAAATTTCTGAGATAGGTGAAAAGATTTCCTTGTTTTCAATTCTCATACATTGGAGACCTCAACAAATTCCCTACAAAGCCCCATGAAACTATAATAACTCATTCCTTATTCTAAAAAGGTTTCAAGGTTTTCCAACTATCAAATAATGACTTGTCCACTAATCCATTGTGGTCTAGAATTTTCAATGTTCTAATTGGTCTATATTCTAAGTAAATTGGATGTATGATAAGTGGTTCTTTGGGGAAGGTGTTGGATGTAGATAAAGGATTTATCAAAGCTATTTGAGTTAAAATTAATCTTGAGATGGAAAAGCCCATAAAACAATTTAAGTCCTTTTAAATTACAAAAAGTAAAAAGCTTAGACTTAAATATGAGAAACTTATGTAACCCTACTTGTTGGGGTTACATAAGCTACTTTGCAAAATGATAGTGAAATTGCACACTATATAAAGAAAGCAAGTGAGAAGCTTGTGAGATGCTTTGGCTCATAGTTGGAAGTGGAGTTGGAAAAGTCATGGTGCTAAGATGACATTGATAGATTAGACGAATCTTTCTCTATTAATATTTGTTGCTCAAGGCATGATAATCCTAAAAATGAGATTAAGAGAATAAGCCAAGCAACAATTTTAGTGACATGAATCTAAACTATGATAGTCAAATAAATAGAGTAAGCAAAAAAGATAATTTGGCTCAAGTGGAATTCAATTAAAGGAATGGGCAACACTTGCCATTGGGTGCTCTAGTATCCCTAGTTAGGGTTGGGTTTCAAATGGTTTTGTTACCAAACCAATAAAAAATGATAATTAACCAACAATTCAGTTGAACAATTGCAAATTGATTACTGAATTGGAAAAGAGTCAATTGCCTTGGTTTAATGGTCAATTTATTTTGATATTTTTTATTTCAGTTTCAATTAAAGTAAAAGGGAAATTTAAGCAAAATAATAGTTATATTTTTCCTATTTCATAACAAAACTTATATATTATTAAAGGCAAATATCTTGTAATATCATTTTAAAATGCAATATGATTATTCAATATATAAATTATAAAAATACCATAGTAATAACAAGATTTAAAGTAATACTAATAACACTAATATACACATAATACAATTAAATATCTTATAATAAAACAAGATTATATATAAAAAAGAGAGGTTAATGCATTTCAATCTTGACTTTTATAAAAAATTAGTCTCAACCTACGTTTAAAAACTAAAATCCCAATTAGTTTGTATCAGTCCTAACTTCCCCAAAAAAAAATTAGAGTTCCAACTTACTTAATTCAAAATTTAGAAATTTACCTTATTAAATATTGATATATAAATTTGGAAACTAATTATATATTGTAATATAATCAATTTTTAAATTTAAATATCAACATTTAATAAGATAGATTTTAAACTTTTGAATTTAGTTTTAATTAAATAAAATGATGTATTTAAGATTGGGATTTAATTTATTTTGGTTGTCAAGATTGATATATACTTTTTCCGTGTATATATATATATATATATATCTTATATCAGAGCTGCTCATGTTCAAATATCATACTTGAACAAAAGCAATCAAGTTTAAGAATTCAATTGTTTGATATTCTTACTTAGAGATTCCACCATTCAATATAAAGCTACACAAAAACACAAAGTTAATTAACAATGTCAGTAGGTAGGCATCCATGTTTACCACAAAACAAAAGATGCAGTAATGTGTAGGTTTAGTTCAATTCAACAACAATAATAATAAGAGGAGACATGCATCCATCTTCACCAAAAATACAAAAGATAAGATATGATAGTATACATGTCTAGGTCCAAGCTTTTAGTACCAATAATAATAAGAGCAAGATAGTGTAGTAATATTAGTAAACCAAGTTAACTTAATATAAATAAGGCTTTATATATACAAGTTAGCTTTAAAAGGTGATTTATATAATTAACAAAAGGAGTACAAGTATGACTACACAAGTTAAGCACTTTTATAATTTGGTTTATTTGTTTGACAATTAGAAACAAACAAGGTTAGAATAACATAACGAGTAATTAAATCTTACAAAATAAAGTTACCAAGATAAAAGATTAGCCTATATTTATAAGATAGTTATATATTTTAATTACTTTACCCATAACCTGCCATATTCATATATATATATATATATATATTGCATTAGGTTCTTGTTATAATGGTGGAATTGAAGTGAAGTTTATTAAAACCTAACAAGTCAAACTAATACAATAAGTAAATAGTTCAAAAAAGAGGCAAAATAAAAACAAATTGAATATGAAGAAATCAATAAACCATTCTCTAGGCTTGCAAGAAAATATAAATCCTTCAAACTAGAAATATCTTTGCAAAATGAAAAAAATGTTAAATAAAGCATAATGAAGGTAATTGAACATGAGAACAAGTTAATGGAAGTTAGTAGAAAATGAAAATTAACTATAGCAAATATACCTTGAGGTAGACTTTAACCAATTTTGGCAACAAATAAGTGCTTAGGCCATTTAAGGGGTAAGGGAGCTTTTAAAGGCATCAAGGACTTTTCCTGTAATGAAGAATGCAAATTTTGAAGCAAGTGTAGAGATAGGGTTAGTTAAGACATAATTAGCCATGATAGTTTGAACATAAAATTTAGGTGCATTCATTTTCCATCGTTTAAAGACTTCAAATTCCTTAGAATCATCAAATTCCTCACTCAAGTATCTATCAAATTCAATCTTCTTAGTGGCCTTACTCATCTCACTTTTATCTCTTAAAGTCAGAAAAAAGTTGTGTCCTAGCTTTTCTAAATGACCCGACCTTATTACTATCTCAACAGAATCATCACAAACAAAAGCAAAAGCTTATTAAGGAGAGTGTGTACTACTTAATGCACACTTAGAAGAACTTAACTTCTTGAATTCTTGAAACAATTTTATGCATTCATTCCTCACCATGCCTCCATAGATCTTTCCTTTAACTTCTTAAAACATCTTTACCAATAAATATTGCACATAATTCTTATTTATGCCTTGATCAAGCATAACAGGTACAAATATGTTCTTGTTCATTTGATTTGGATCTCCTTAATACTTCTTATACTTGTCCTCATTTCTGTAGCCATTACAAGCATAGCAACATCATTCTCCTATTGTTTAGACAAGAAGTCAACTTCTAAAATCTTGGCAAACTAGAGATTGTAAGTAGTGTACAAATTTTCTACAACTTTCTTAGTGAAATGGTAAAAGTAATCCCAAACCTTCATCATTCTTTTGCAATTGTCCAAATTAATGCAAAAGGGGAAACCTATAGCATTAGATTTAGAATATAGCTCAACCTTTACATTGTGCTTCACCCTTGTAAACTTTCAATAAAAACAATAAAAAAAGAATAACAATTCAAGGAAAATATATAATAATTTAATTTATAAGTATACACACCAAAAAATTATAAAGCAAATGTATAGAACTTACCTCTCAAATGGATACTCAAATTTTTCTATAGTGTCAAGCATCAAGTAGAGTGAATTCCACCTAGTTGGAACATCCAAAGCACAACATTTTCTTAGATTCAATCTTCTCAAGTTCCACACATTCCTTGAACTTTATAATTGTTTGAGGGCTTTGCCTCACATAGTTAATATCATCTTTAATAACACTTATGAACCCTTCAATAAGTGTGGTCCCTTCATCCACAACCAAATTAATTACCTGAGCTGCACATCTTATATGTAACTCAGGCTTTGCAAGAATACTTGTACCCCACTTATTCAGACTCTTCTTAATACATTTCACCAAACAATCAGTAGAGGATGCATTGTTTACT